TCACACCTGTCGCCCACCCTGTTCTAACTTGTTCCAGTCTCACTATAACTGTCGTCGCATCTATTTTCATGTTATTGTGTTGTCAATGAAGAGACAATACGAGATGTTGGCATCTGCCAGTGTTCGTCTTCTTACGGCTTTACTCAAATTACTTAAAGTATCTAACTGTTGCAAGCAAGCGGAAGTCTTTTAGTGTAGTTTGTTGACTTCAGGTGCTTCCCAAGTGTTGAACAAGCCTGACTGTTCAAGCGCATCTCTTTTGTGCTTCGTAATCTATATGGATCTGACGTTCACTTGTATTCAAACCACTACGTTCTAGCTTGCACATCACATTCTAGCAATAAAATAATCGGGTCTGTAAAGTGCAAGCTTTGTAAAATTTTCGGCATTAACCACCTAGTACCTTGGAAGTTGCACGGATCATAGCACAAGGTCTGCTAGAGAACGCTTTGTAAACAAACCCCGCAACTTGCAGAAAAACCGAGTCACACAAGGTAGCTATGCTCAGATAAGTCAATTTCATCAACTTCATGTAGGTACACTGAAACGAGAAGCTCATTTTTTGGGGAGTTCAGTAACATTAGACCGCAATAGATCGATGTATTGTGATTCCGTTCGACAAAATACCATATGTGTTTGGCCGCCCGACTTACAAATGGTTAAAAGTTACCAAGTGTTAAGTTGCTAAAGTTAACCTCATAATTTAGTGGCTACAAAATTGTTTACATCGGGGAAGTCTTCGTTCTTCTCCACGTAAGATAATCACATAAATCTCACTGCTCCCATTACCCACAAATATGGTTCAACACTTTCCTTAAGTTGCACCTGTTCTGTCTTTGTCAGAATCCTACCCATGGTGACATTTCCTCGGTATTTTTGGAGCATGATATTTTACTAGCTAGACATTTTCCCCACAGTAAATGGGACTTGGTTGAGCCTATTTACAACTTCGGCCGTATTACTATTCCTGGTGCATCAGCTCACGGCCCTCGTGGGCAGATTGTTCTGGCCTGAGACAACATTGACACACCATTTACTCCGTAATAGTGAAGTCAAAACCAACAATCAGTTAACAACCAGTCATTTAATTGGCAAGCACTTTATCGTAGCATGTCGTACGTCTCATAACCCTCAATGTATGAAGACTACCTCGTGTATAATCCCAAATAAATTCAACTTTCAATTATAATAAGGTGAAGGGAAATAACTCATGACTTAACGTGTACTTAATATTGGAACTACACTGCATTTAAACAAAGTGGGTGCGTAAAGAAAACTTTGCATGGTAGTTAAGTAAACTTGATTTGTAGCATGGATCCAGTTAATTGCTGCACAACCACTCGACTACTTAATTTACCAATGGCGTACTCAGGAATATAGCAAAAACAGTTTCTTCTGCTTTTAAAATAACCATTTCCACTTGATTCGATTTTGACCCTTTTTTTCGTTTTCGCAGCTCAATGATGGCAATCGAAGTAGCGGAATTGTCGGCTACGATATGAATGTCTACCCAGCATATCTACTTGGTTACACTGGAAATGGTTCCAATGCAGTAGTCTTAGATGATGGTCTCGATACGAAACATCACGATCTGAAGGCGAACTACGACCCGACCATTTCCATTAACTTGGACAACGGAAATGAAGATGACCCGAGAGGACCGTTTCGCATAATGAAGCCAGACGAGGCGTAAGTGCACATTGGTTGGTGCATGCAATCGATGAAACACAAGGCCTGCACGGCTACCGCATAAATGGCTGTTGCAACATTGACATGCATGTTCTGGTTCGTACTAAGGCATATCAGCACTTAGTGTACGAAAGATCGCACTGTGCACTTCGCTGTCGAGCTTATAAGCCGCCGCTAGCTACTTATATTAACTAAGCACAGGACGAAGCCACCGAGAAATCCTTGCTTGCTTTATCGGGTTGATGTCTCTAAAACAACAGTCGAAATGCACCTTAAGTGGTAAAAAAGGGAGATTTTAAATTTCGTCGTGTGTTATACTATTGCGTCAACTACCGCATAGGTTGACAAAATGATGGCGGAAAATTGCAACCAACAAGGCTTAACATAAAAGGTGATAATCTCCAACTGGACTTAATTACCACTATATAGAACCTAATATTTTCATGGTTAATACCTACCTACTCTCAGAAATACATCCCAGAATGTATGACGGCAAATGACTACTAGTAAGTGCTTGGAATAAGATCGCTTGTTTGTCTGCCTCAGTGTTTGTATTAAGAAAACGTTGTTAGCTAAGACGGTAGAATAAACTTATGCACAAGAAACCGAATTTACTGATGCACCGGCAGATAATTTTACTTTATCTATGAGCAACCACGGCTTTTAAACTTGGCTGGTTTTTTGCAGATTATTCGAATGCATTACGCCGTTTTTAAATTAGGTCCTGGCGTATCGTACTTCATTTCATCCCCGAAGAGAGTAGACCTAAGTCAGCATTACGGTGAGCCAGGTCCCCCGACGCAATCAATGCGGATGGGACGAAGTACTTGTTGAGTGCGCGGTAGCAAGTAGAACGAGCTTCTTCTCGCTTAGAACTATGAGGAACAGCTTCGAAAGAAGACACGATTTATCCGAAGGTGCCAACTATTATTAGATGAGCGTACGCACTACCATGATCACAGTTATCCAACTTCACCTATTGCACGAGAAAGTACCAACAACATGTGAAAATACAGAGAAAACGAACAAAAGTTTCAGAAATAAAACGCAGTCCCGTTGCTATTCATTTCTACCTAACTTTTTGAAGGTAGAAATAGCTTTCTTATTGTTTGCAGCTTTGTACCATCCTTGGGCTCCTCCTGAATTACGAAATAAGGTTAAATCATTCAGACTGGTCTCTTGGAGAATGAAATTCATTAACAGAGCATGAACAATGGAGCATTGCAGCGATGGTTTATAGCTAGTACAAAGGAAAACGCTGAACAAATCCTGCAAAAATACATACCAAGTTAAAAATTGCGATGTGCAACACATTGTTAACAAAGGAATTCCCAGTTTATATGAAGTATAAAATGTTTACGATGGCGCAGAAGTGAGTATTCCGGTCTGAAGCCTAAGGGAAGTCTCACACAGACCATTGTTAGTTCTGGACTAACGCTGGCATTTGACGATCAGGGGGCTATATCACCTTGTGCAAAAGCATCACTATGTTGTCAGGTCGCAATAGGACAGTTTTAAACTAAGAGCATCAATTACATGCTCTGTGAGGGCTTTCCAAGGCTGTGACACTCCGTAAGAAAAATATTTTCATCAACATTCCAGTCGACTGTACTGCGTTGTTAGATTAAACTAACGGCGTTTCAGAGATGTGTTTTGATTAAGTTTCAACAGGTGGTGGCAAGTATGATTAGGGTTTCTTACGATATGCTACAGTATTATGAGATCGCCCTGTATCCGCCAGTTACCTCCACGGTAAGCTGCTAGAGTTTTCAGCCTGCATTTGCACGGAAGGTGGGGCAAGCCTTTGATCTTATTCGCCACCTTTCGTTTGTGCACAATCTCGAGCGCAGAGAGGTTGCTGCCACGCTCGAGGAGCGTGTTCCGTATGTGGTTTCATGTATACGATACGTAAATACGGGATGGTTGAAGTGTAGAATTTTTTGAACCCTCTATGTAGGAGACCGATGTGCCAGTTTGTTGTCCTGATGCTCTTTCGATCTGCCTCAAACAACCAAGGTCATCCTGCATTAGCACCTCGAGGTGGAACTCATGAGAAGCGCGCTTTAAAAGTTGTGGCCCTATCGGTTACTCGGAAGTGATTCAGTGCCGTAAAACCCATAACTTTACAATCAGCGGAGTTGAACTGAATCAGCAGGTTTTCGGATCTGCATGTAGAGGCTTTTTGCAGATCACTTTGCAGGTCAGTTTGATCCTCCTTTACAGAGCTTTGATATCGTATATTTAGATCCTCAGAGACTATTACAGCAATTGAAGAAGCAAACATCACTTGGTCGTTTAGGAAGACCAGGAAAAGGCGGAGTTCGAGTAACGAGCCCTAAGACTCATCGTTCTGGGCTTCGGCTGGATTTGATAGGATGCTGTCAACCCCATCTTTCAATGAAGTTGTACACGAAGCTTCCGTATCCAACCCAGGACGAGATATCCATTTTAATAATTTTGAATTTTATGAGATAGAATGAGATAATCTAGGTGGTTGAATACCGTTTAGAACTACAAATAGATGACATTCAATCATACACTAGCATTTAACAACTGCATCTAACGCGAAAGTTACGCATGATCGATCCTGGCGAAATCCGTGCTGCTCTGGAGCGAGAAACCACTTACGCTCTAACTACCCTGTGCGTTTCTCAGCAATAATGGTCTCCATGACCGGCAGTAGTATTGTCAACCGGTAATACGCCGGTTTTGTACGGCTCCCACTCATATAAAATAAAGTGTCGATTCGATGCTTCCACATTGTGGAATGTACACCCCATAAAACATCGTTAAAAGAATCTGGCAAGCGGTTCAGCTAAGCTCATGGCAGTCACTCAACGGCTTTGGACGAATGCCCTATGCACCATGCGAGCTCTACTCATACCAGCAAAGTAAGCACCGCAGCAAATCTGTGGTGATAATAGATATGGTTTATCCCTGATGTTGTTATGCTCTGCGTAAGAAGAAAGTAACTTGACTGTACACTTTGGCAAGTAAGTATGGATAGTTTTCCAAGAGTGTTGGCCAACAGTTTTGCCATTTGTGCTGGATCACATGTTCGGTTGTGGACTTTACGAAGTCTGTTAACGTGTCGGCATAGTAGCTTGGGTTTAGAGCAAAATATAATTATAAAGTCCTGTTGGTGATTTACACAGTCTGAACGAATTTGACACAGTAGTTTCGCTGTGCTGCTGTGACAGCCGAGGTGTCCTCACTCGGAGCGACCTTGGGAGCAGGCCAAGCCAAGTCCCTCATGGTTATAAATTTCCGATTCCTCCGCCTTAGGAATTGTTTTCTATTTTTCGTGTGATGTATTTTGGTTTCAGATCTGCTGGCTTGTTGAATAAGTTGAACAATTCCATTCAGAGAACCTCATAGGACCATTCGGCTAACAAATACCGGCTTGTTGCTTCAACGAGGTCGAACAGGGCATCACAGTTGATTACGACGTGACATTTCCCTGCAATTTCTTTAAAATACTGCACAGCACATGTAACAGAACACTAATTTTACATGATTGCTGTAGCCCAAAGGAGTGCAGCATGGCCGGGTTTTTTCCCTGTCCTGCAACTCTTTGGTAAAGTGACATAGTTGTACATCGGTGATCCATCGATTTATTTTTGCAGTTTCGCCTCGAAGTGCTCAACGAGGGTGACCGGGTTTCTCGGGCGTGATAGTTGAAGCCCATACTAGAAGGTGGCTGTAAGACCGTGACTGTAGGTTCTTCATACCGGAGACTAGAACCTAATCTATTTCTAAACTGGACATTGGTGGGCAGTAGAAAATGGCTACCAGAAGGATTCTACGACTAGAATGTCTGGGTCGCTAACGCGGGCGACATCTATGTCGGAACGGCATTAATGAATTAAAACCGCTTCCCTTAATAAGTCAGTCATTACGCTTGGGGGATATGCTAGCTAGTGGGATCTCAACGTAGGTTATCATGTCATCCAGCCATATCTTGGTTATCTTGATGAGGTCCCATGACACCGAGAGTTACCAAGACCGAAGCTCGGCCAATCTGAAGAGAAGTCATTGTGTTACTTGACCTTTCGGTCATGGTGTGTGGTGGATTACCGGGTTCTAAATCAGATGGTGGGAGGTTACACTGCATTTCAGTTCAGAAATTCAGACATTTGTGCTCTCAACAAACGCTTGGTGGTTTTGTGTTTACTTAGCCATTGGTGGCCTGGTCACGAACACCTCCAGATGTGTTTCTGATTGCAACTTGGTGTGTATGCCAGCTTCAAAGCAGCTTCAAGCACGTCTTCTAACTTTAGTTAAGAGTGGAGCAGAGCTTTTACCACTCTCTGACCACATGCGTTGTAGTTAAATGATAAGAGTAGCCTTGGTGTTGAGGTGGCAAGCTCTTCATTAAGCAAAGTACTACACGAATGTAGCGCCACTTCTCAAAGCCCTGAAGTCAGGTTTGCTACTCGCCGGAAGACTAAAGTGCTGGAATACCATGGACAGATATTGACCTTTTATCATTTTGTTTGCGGTATTCTCCTGGGGTTTGCCTTCTTGGCTGACGGTGGCTTCAAGGGATATCAGGGAATACACGAGTAGCGCACGACATAACATGAAGGCCGTAAGAGGATAGCCTTAGCTTTGGCATTCAACTGAAGCGCCATCTGAAGAAGCATTATTTCTCTATAGTGAACTGAGTTTGTGTGGCACGCCATAGAACCAAACAGGTCAGTTTAGCTTGGAGTCTTATTTATTGGTATATGTAGTCACACTACATTAAAACATTTAATAATGTGTCTTTGGTAGAGCTTAACTTTGACTCCTACACATTAAAGCATATTATCTTTAGCGGGTTCTGCTTCTTTCTATGGTGAACAACCTTGGATAAGGGTGTGACTTTCTTCGTCATTTCTAACACGCTTTGGGGTAGTTAATTATTTGGCTACTGTCTTTTATTTGGGGCTGCATGTAGCGCCAACAGGTGAAGATGCTTCGTGATTCCTGCAGTGGTGGATAAATCAATATGCCAAGATGTGCCACAGTACACCTAAAGGAACCACTACATGATGCACCGTAAAGGCAACCAATGGTAGCTGAATCAGGTTGTTCTCATGTTTGGGAATTTAAGTTATTGGGGTGCGCAGCTTTACGCTCCCGGTTATACGCTTGGTTTGGCAACGCTATTCCGAACCTGAACTTAGAATTCAGCATTGGTGCTCAGATTCTGCTGTGGCAGATTCCCACGTTGAAGTTTTACCACTTGTCGCGCGCACCACAATCGCTGCCAGTTTGTTACGTATCTGTGCCAGCACGGCGATGCACCATGGGAGTGGGATGACCACACCCCGCACAGAATCAAACAGAGTATGGTCTGCCGCAGCACTTTTTAGGGTCCACTAACGATATTTAGATACACTCGAGGTGGAATTTCCCGCTGCAAATAAAAAAGTTATTTCAATTCGAAGACTTCTGGAGTATGAACTGGAATCGCAAGGAACTTTGTCCGTGTACATCGTGTGGACCTTATCTTGGTGGCATGCTGATGTTTAATTTATCGCATGCACAACTTCTGCCCACCGCTTAGTTACCAGCATTTAGCGCACCGCAGATTTCCAGAACAGTACAAGCTTTCGTCGAATGAGCGTTTTGCTTCTTGCACCGGCAAGCAATCAAGAGCGCCGGTAGTTCGACTACCAAATGCGTTTCTTGCTTCGGCGAAGAAGTGAAATAAAAAGAAACCATCCTGTACCTACATCATTCAAGAGTTCGTAGCAACCAGCATCAATAAGGTTGCAATATTTCTGGAAAATGATCTAACCAACATCTGTCCAGACTTCTCTTGAAGTGGCCAACCGTTGTATAGGCAATCAACATAGGGGAAGCTTGTTCCAACTGCCGGCAACGCGGTTCGCAAATTATTTCCCCCAGGAAGCTAGCGGGACATACGATGCTTGAGCTTAAAATGATGACCTCCCAGATGATCCGAGGTAACTGACTTAAACCGGTCAGTAGGCTTAATGCCACTGAGGCCCTCCATGATCCGAAAAATTCTGTCAGATCCCCTCTCAGTCTACGCCGTTCCATGGAAAACAATGTAAGCGACAGATTCGCTTGGGGCTCTAGTGACTCGCAAAAACTCCCGGGTCCAGCCAAAAAAGGGAGCCGGGACGTTAAATACGGTATTATTAAACAAAACAGAACTCAACTACATATTTACATACCTCAACAGTGCCCGTACAGTCCTGAAATAACCGAGGCTTCGTACAGTTACACAATGGAATAGCGGCAACGTAGTTGCTACCGTACAGTAAGGCCACAAAGCACAGCTCCAAAGAGGGGACTAAGAGGGTTCTTTTTAAGCTGCCAGAAACCTTATCCCATTGGTCCACGTCACGGCGCATAGGAAGATACAAAGTGTCATTACGTTCAAATGGAATGAGAGTAACGCGGCTCGGTGCGGATATGGGATCAAAGACCAACAACGGCTTGGGTGCCCTTGGGGTTAGTAGCACGGGGGAGGTCTACAATCCTCACAGCGAGTATGGGATGGGAGTAAATCCATCCTGACGGGTGGGACACCTGCGCATGTTACATAGTATGGGCGCAATCGTATCTTGCAGCGGGGTAGGAATGAAAGCACGTAGACACGGTAGGGAAAACAATGAATCGCGCAATAGCCCGTAGGAGCAGTTGTGAGATAAGGTTATAGGGAACAAATCTCGATACCATGGGGCGAATTGCGAGGAAAACATGGAGATTTGCATAGATAGTCGCATGGGGTAGACAAATAATGGGTTATCCGGGATTTCGGTAGAAGACGCAGTTGATGTGCTCATCGGATAATGATCTTGACATGCAGGCTGCGGGTTTTCATGGTAATTGTTCCGTTTATGATCAATCCCATACATATGACAGCGGAGGCAGCGGGATACCGTTACATTCACAAGGTTTTTGGCTAATGTTTTGTAAAATAACTGAAGCAAGGATAAACATTATCGTTTTAATAAACTAGAACACTGCAGTAGTTAGTTACTATGAATTTTGGCGCGCAATTTATAACACATTGCTGCTTACTGCATTATTTATACCCCTTTAGACACGGTACCCAATGCGCGGGACTCATTGCAGCAGTGGGAAATAACGAAATATGTTCTCATGGAATTGCCTACCATGCAAAAATTGGAGGTACGTCCACCAACTATCAGACCCAGCTAAGTGCATTTGACCTTGTTGCGTTTAGAAATTAAGATTCGCTTGTTCTTTCTTGGAATAGAGAAACGTCATACTCAGCTGGACGTATCATAGATGCACAAGTTAAATGGTTATGTGTACACAACAGTCGAGGATTTGCGTTGACAGATAAACAAATAAATAACTAAAGTTTTTATTCGCGAGGCACGCCTTTATAAGCATGATCATGTTAAGATAACAAATCGTGATCAAAAATGTTCAAAAATGCAACGGGTTTTCCGTAACAGTGAATGCTTGTATAGGCGTGTGCATACCTATGTAACTGCGTATGTGTGTAGCTGTGTAATTTGTACATGCAAGTGTGCCGCTACATCCTTGACTGTTTGGTAGTGTCGGCAATGGGATAATAGACGATTAATGTCAGTGAGTTGTATAGGCTTATCCAGATATTCACAGGGCAGTGCCTTTAGTTTGCGGCGAGTCGCAACCGCCACACCGCAGTGTTGATAAACAGACATTTGTGGCTTTTTCTAGGGAGAACACTTGCCAGGCCAAACTCACCACGTCCTGGAACACTGGCGCCGAATTATTTGTTGGAACGGGTTAAAACTGAACCACACAGATGGCACCACGCGGAGACTGTTCAATAACGAGCCACAAAAGTACGGATATACGTCTACTATTGTGATGTTCCTTTTCATCATCCAACAGATCCGCTGGCACATTTGATAGAACTATCCCGCTGCATAACAGGGGACGTACATAATCTACTCTAAGGAAAAGGAATAAAATTAGAAACGCCAGTCTTTCTGACGGGATGTGTTTGCTGCTACTTTTACACACCAAACGTTTAAGAAATTCCTCTCCTTTTCTTGCCTTACTTGAAAAGTGGGGAGTCCCTCAAAACATAGTTGCCACGAAGAATCCTTGTTAGCAATCCAGCATACCAAACACAGAAGAGGGTAGGTCAGTGGAGTGAACACCGTTGATGATCGACAGACAAGTCCGTTAGGAACGACAAAAGTAACAGCTGGACCAAGCACCTGTCAAAGACTATGCACCTATTTTGACTATGGTACTGCGACCATCACTTCCATGTTGTGACAAACACCATCGCTCAAGTTACCCAGAATAATCAACTGAGTTAATAACCAATGTAATTTGTGGTTACTTACATCAAATATTTACACTACGACCAGTAGTTGCAAGGAACTCCATGCCACGCATCGAGAAAACTACTTCGTTTGTTAGTGGAACTACAGCAGCAAGACCATCGGGATCGAGCAGTGTAGGTGCAACTGAACCGTTTCGCCGAGCCACCAATAGCTCTAGTTGTATTATTGTTCGGTTATAATGCATATGAACCATGCTGAAATGGCCAATATTCGCCCCCTGTATATCCCATTTAAATCGACGATTGCTTTCTGACCAAGCACTCTTTAGCCTTGCAGGGGCACCGCAGTGCGGTTGGTGACAATGATTATTTTAACCACAGTTTAAGCCGATTCGTACTGTAAGATGGGATGGACTTTTCTATATCGTAGTTAAGGCCACGCAACCCCCACTAACTTTGAAATGTAACTGATTGGGCGGGAATTACGTGTATGTTGCGTCAAGCGAGTGGTTTATCATAACGCACTTTATGATGGCCATTCTGCGCACAACAGCATTGGGGATTCTGATGGGTAGCTAAGCCCTTATGTCATTTGCGTCAACTAGCGTAACATTACTAGCTGGATAGCGTATTCTCAACAAAGTTGTAGAGAATCCAGCAGGGAAAATTGTTTTCAAACACCTTTCTACTTTATTATCTTCACAGACACACATATATCACTCCGGTTTTAAAAGGATTTTCTTTTAATTCTGAATGACTACAGTTGTGAGGATGCTATCTGGGAAGGTCAACGACATCATCGAGGCGCGTAGCTTGTCACACAACGTGGAAAAGGTGGCTATGTATTGTGCCTCATGGGGCCCCACGGACGACGGCTTCACCATGGACAAACCACGAGAGAACACTGAAATGGCGATGAAGTACGCATCAATCCATGTACGTCGCTAACAATAATCTTTCTAAGCCAATAATTCACTTACTTAACATGGTACCAGCAGTTTTGCCAGTCGATATTGGCAGTTAAGGTATATTGTCTTAGAAGGCATACGCAGCTAGGCTACCCGCGAGTGTAAGAAGCGAGTAACATGGCTTGCCTGCTCAAGTCACCTTTCTGGTGCTAACACTTCCTGATCCTGGGTCGTGGAAAATAAGCGGTCCATTTGATGCAATTTAATAATGATCATATTATCTCCTCAATTTATCACCATGTTTGTTTTTCACCAATTTCGTGATCCTCATTATGGTCATCCTACAGAATCAGGTATTTTACCCGTAATACACAATGCTTCTATTGTTCAGGTATCTCCACTGATACATTATTGCGGTAGGAATCTCATTGAAAGCAGGTGAGAAATTCACAACAGTTTAAATTAACAAATGCGCTTCCGGTGTACGAGCGGGATAAAATGGTGTCATGCATTATAAGCAACGTATATTCTCCGTGTGAAGGATCAGACTGTAATGTTTTTACTGAGAATCCATATACAGTAGATAAATCACCAGATTCCTTCATTTAAAATAACAGGTGGTCAAATATTAGAAATAAGAGCAGGTTACAATACGTGAAAATAATAGAGGCAGCTTCTACAGCCTTCTTTTGATCAACGAAAGGGTACTTGGTGTAAGGACAAACATGTAGGAGGCTACCGGTACTACCATATATTTGTGAAGCTAAGACATTCTCGTATCTTGTAGTAGGAAAAAAGCACCTTTTTAATAAGAAATGTTGTCGGCCGAATGGTGACTTAAGGTCTGCAAAGCAATCTGTTCATCTCGGCGATCAAGTCAAGGTTTGAACACTCAATCTTCGATATCAACACTGCGCTTTATTACAGCCACTGATAAAAACGTGCACTCCTGTGGTACACTTGCTATTTCAGTAATGTTTCGGGATATTTCGAGTGCCTAACATGCTGTTTTAGAGGCCCAGCCTGCAATATCCACGGCAAATGACGACCCGGGGACGGAAATCAAGTATCAAAGGGCAAACCAAGTCCGGTGCAAGTTGGAGACACGTTTGGCAAAGCAGGCTAGACTTCATAAACAGTAAAATGGTCACAGTAGCTGTTGCTCATCCCCAAGGCCCAGCGATCGCAACCATGGTCTCATGTGGGTGTTTTTAAACGAGTTATGGCTCTATAGATGAAGTGCACAGTGCTTACAACTCCCAACTGAATGAAATGACTGTCCACTTTTTTCCGGAATCGAAGCTACTGTCCGACTAAGGGTGAAGATGATGAATCGCCAACAAAACCTTTTATCAAGCTTGGATTGTACGCTTGTTTGCTTTTAATACTTCTGGATTTAGCCAAGTAAAACCACGGTTATTTAATGAACAAAACAATCCTAAGTTAATTTACCAACAATGGGGAAGGTGAACTTGTAACGAATAGCGCTCGCTACGTCATGAAGAAGGCTGCGATGGTAAAGTAGCGACCATTAAAACACAACAAATATGTTCTAGCTCTGTGATGTAGCAGCCTTTTAATGTGGGTACTTCTCTAAAAGTTTATGCTTTAGTTTTCGCTTTGGAGTTTGCTGAATTATGGAGCCAGAGATTTTCTCATTAACCGTCTCACTTTTAGGGTCGGAATAATCATGGTACACTGCTCTTGTTTGCATCTGGAAACGGAGGAGCAGTGGGCGACCATTGTGGGGCCGACGGCTTTGTCAGCTCCCCACACGTTATTGCGATTGCCGCACTGGATCACCAAGGCGCTCGAACAATGTATTCAGAATCATGTAGTGGAACTCGAGTGGCCGTACCCGTCGGTAGTCCACAAGTGACGCCTGAGAACCCAGCAGATTTACTAGTGAGTGACAAAATCGGTGGTATCTAACTTTGTGCGAACAAAATGAAAAGTATGCATAACCTGATGAGCGACTCGACTAAAATTTTAAGAAATCAGTGAGCATGGAATCCAACCATACATTACATCAACCTGGATTACTAGTCGCAGTAACGTCACAAAGCTATTGCTCATGGTTTTTGATTGACCTTAACACATGCAAGTTTTCTGTCAAACGTTGATTCAATGGAACAATGAATTGAGTTCTGCTGATGCAATATATGCAACCTCGAAGCAGGCTGAACTTGGAGCTGTTAATTATCCATGCACTACGTCAAAGGACTACGTAGGTAGGAAATGAAGGCCGTCTCTGCTGATGACTAAATCGTGGTATTATATCTGTAGTGCGACTCAGCTACAGGCCAAGGATAAGATAGAAGCACTTCATCTAGATGAGAAGCTAGGAGGTGGGATTCTGCCTATGTTGTTTTGAATAGAAGCCACAGGAAAACCAGCGCTGATAGGTAGAGTAGGAAGTTTGCGTGTTGTGCAGCTCGCCGGAAAGCAGTGGATGATGTGGAATCGAATTCGTTTACAATAATAAAAGATTGGATTTTGAGCAGAAAAAGAGATCAAAGTAGTTCAAAATGCCGAATGAGTAATAGATTTTCAACCCACTACAAGTGACCTTTAAAACCTGCCTTGAATTTAGCCTGACATCAGAGTGATCAACCAAAGATGAATTGTATCAATGGCATAGGAGGTGAAGATGCTGACGCTATCAGTCACGCGTTGCACAGAGCCAGTAAGTGAAAATGAAGAAAAGGGAGACCCAAAGCAAGGTTCGTTAACTTGTATCAACATAGACTTGTACTAACGAAGTCAGGTGGTAAAACTGAGAGGGAATTTACTTTTTGCAAGTATTCTGCTAGCAATCTAAGTTGGCACACATATATCATTAACAAATTTTACGTTTCTAATTAAAGTAGTTGGGTTCACACAGCGTCATTGGGATATGGCATGCACGTTTCACATCATTGGGCAAGTTCCTAAGTGCTAAACTCCAATTGCAATTGACTCATGATTCTATGGATTTGTTTCTAATATATATTCTAGTTTCTAGATGCCCCTAAAGACTACCGATCATCATGACATTTGCCATTAGCTTGGACACAAGTGTTTCGACTGCTACCTTCAGTTATTATGTCTAAATTAACGTACCATTTTTCTCTCCGTCAGCCAACAACGACGGAGAATAACAAGTGTGTACTCAGTTTCATGGGAACATCCGCTGCTGCTCCTTTGGCCGCCGGTTGTTTTGCACTGGCTCTGGAAGCCAGGTGAGCGCTATGAATATACCATCGTGGATAAACTCGTCAGTTGTCATTTGATCTGTGTATGCATTGTTTAGCAAAAAATTTTAAATGCCGCATTTCCACCCAAGACAATCAGTGTGCTCAGGGGACTCAGATTATGCGATTGCTTGCGGGTAAACAAAATATAACCACTGCGAAATCAATGAACGACAGGATCCAAATCAGTCGCATTTGCATGATTATCAACATGATTCTTAGAGATATAGTTGAATTTAACAGTCATATATCTTACTCACATCTTCAACTAATAGTGAAATTTCTCGTTGCGAATCTTATGCTGTACAAATGCAATAATTTAAGCTCGGGAGTAAATGAATCCGAAAATAAGGCCCACCTGACCAAAAAGAATAAGGTGTAACCAATTTAACTCGGCTGCATAGAATCTGCAGTGCATTATGTTCTAAAGTATGTTGTATAAACAACAAGGTGAAGATTGAAACTTTATCATTCTAATTAGAAAACCAATAGTATCGAACCGCCGCACGCCAATCTTTATTTTTCAAAGTTTAAGCTTTGTAATGCACCGGGGCTTGCTTAATCAGGATTCATGTTTGACGATTAGTGGATTTAATTAACACTGGGAAAGTGAGAAGATATTCGGTTAGTTGACGAATTTGTTTGCTAGTTGCTCCGTAGAGGAAAAGCTCGTAAAACTTTGCATGGTAACACTTTATGTACCAACATTTCTAATGCACAAAGCAAATAGAAGTAACATCTTACGGCTTCCTGGTGCTTCCTGTTTTCGGATAACATCCATTAATCATTTCCGTTTATCCTCGTTCTGCAACTGGTGTAGCGTATGCAAATCTTGTTTGAACAGTTGCCCAGTGGGTGTATTTTGCATCTATCGTTATAGTCGGAGAAAACAATGCTAATATGTGTGAATAATTCCCAGCTGCTAAATATTTGGGAGGTTTTCTATTAAATCTACTAAAAATTTCATCAGCGTTGCTAGCCAGTCCCAAAGCAGTGACGATGACAATTATTGTCTCTAAGACTATCAAACTACGGTCACCCATAAAAACCACAAACGTTAGAGGTTAAGAAAACCCCATAGCTTTGGAAACGCACACAACATGTAAAGTGAGAGGTTGTGCTGGCAATGGCGTGTTTTATCATCCCATAGGTTCTGTTGATTTGAAGCTTGACAGTTGCGATTTCACGACTATAAAATCACGTATTTCATTTCAATACTTAAATTGTTTGCAATAAGTGACTTGTATGAGAGAATATCACCTTGTACTTGCTTATAAGTACAGTTCGTTCATACACTTGAAGTGTACCATTTTAGAATTTCCTTTTTATATATGGAGCTGCAAAATGATTAGACGATAAATCACGGGGACCCTTTTAACTCCACTGGCCTCTAATACCGTAATTAGCGACAGTTTGAGATTTATTAAACTCATCAGGTGAAATGACCCAACAACGACTTGAAACCGTGGTTATCGAGGCTTTCGGATCTTTCCTTGAGGCTCAAACAAATTTGCAATGTCAAACATAAACCACAATTAAGAAGGTAATATTTCCAGTGATTTCGTACACCAGAAAGATGTGGGTACATCTTGAGATCGAACAAATCAGTACATTCAAACAATTATGGACAGTGTTGATTTTTCGTACTTTGTCGTGTCGTTGCCATTGCTGCTTACTACACTATACAGAATATTTGAGAACTAAACAAAATTTTGGTTTGCACCACAACAACTGTTATTGAAAATAAATAAGTTTCCTCCTCATTAAAACACATTTCGATGACAAACAGTTCGGCGAAGGTACTTGGAGGCAGGTACTGAATTCTGAAGGAAACAATTTTCTCCCAGCACGTGTTACCCACTTCAGTAACTATTTGTATTGACTTGTATGCATGTATTATCTTCAACAACGGATCAAGTAGACATCAGTCATACTTTGCTTGCCAGCTAAGTCTAGCCATAAACACGGCTTTAAAGCACCAACACAAAGAGTGTGTGACTGAAACTATATTTAAGAGAAAGTAGAAAGGTTTCTGTACAACCCTATTGAATTATGAAATATCAAACCATTTCATTGCGGATCGTCAGGAGTAGTGTTTAGTCAGTCAGTCTTTTGTCCATATTCGGCTAGGAATTCGTATTTGTGTCATTAAGGTCCAAGTATAGGATGTATCTTCTCCATTGTATGTGCACAGTTTCACAAAAGCACAGGCTTCCGAAATAACCATCGATTCGGGTTTTAAAACACTTCACAGAATCGGCCTCGATTAATCCTTCTGGTAGTGTATTCCATAAATGTACGATTCTTCGTTCTAAACAAAGCTGATGTGCTAACTTGTTAATACAGGGGACCCTGAGTTTGTAACGGTGTACTCGGGTGTTACATGGTTTACGCAGGTAACATATTGGTCACAGTATGGGGAAGTGATTCCAAGGTCATAATAAGGTCAATCCTTACTCGGCGGTAGAATAGCGTGTAGAGTCCGAGCCTTTCGCAAGGTTTTTCATACGGAAGCTTTCCTAGACTGGGTATCATTATAGCTGCGAGGTGCTGTATTTTCTCCCCCTTTTCCGTTTCCCATTGGATTATCGGATGGTAAGCTGGCGCGCCATATTCAATGATTGGTTTAATGAGTGCGGTGAATAGGCGAGGGACGGTTTCTTCGGCTCATGTGGGGAAACTGCGCCGTAATACCTACAGCATACGAAGTTCCGCACAGTGCAATTTTTCTGTGTTTTCTGTTGATCTCATGTCATGTGGCGAGAGCACTCCTAAGTCTCTGACAGATGTGTTAGGGTGGAGCACCTGACCGTCCAAGATGTATGATCGAGTGGCTGGACGTCTGGTGATACTGATGGACTCCGACTTGCTTGTGTTAAGAGAGAGTTGCATTTCAGTGGACCAGGTTGACATTCGATCTAAGTCATGCTGGAGGCGAGCGCAGTCCTCCTGGTTCTCAGTGATCATCTAGATGTTCAAATCATCTGCAAAAAGAGGACATGGTGACTGGAGCTGCTGTGGGAGATCGTTGATGTGAGTAATGAACAGTGATTTATCACGGATAAAAGCAAATGCTTGACACGGCGCATAGGATGGTTGGGGTAAATATGATGAAACCAAAATATGTCTGGGTCAGTTATCGAACGTCCGCCTAAATGAATACTCCGATAAATTACATTAGTGTGAAATTTCAAAAATCGAGCGTAGACGTTCAGAAAGACACTGAGGTGCAGTGATCGTTGATATAGGGCGTGAGAAAAGTAAAATATGGTCGCTCACTTAGGTCCATTTGATACATAAAGCCGGTTGAAAAGCATGCTTGGCGTAATCCATAATAGAGGAGTTTAAGTAACAAATGCTGGGAGCTAAGAGCAACATCTAATGGTTTTTTGAAATGGTCCATGGTAGGAGAGGATACAACTGAGTCTAGGAGTGCGTACCAGGGTTAAAAATCCCGAAAATAAAACTAATTACGTCGACACTTTAGACGGATATATTGTTCAGTCAATTTTATGCAGTTACCCCTGAGTTGCTTGTTGTGGCTAAGTTTCAGCAAATGACGGCATACGTGGTTGGGGTTACTCAGTATCTGGTACGCTAATATGAGATCACCGCGCAGCCTTCGATACCGTTCGCTGGAAATTCCTAGCAACTACTGCCTTCGGTGGTAAGAGTGATAGCGCAGGCCCTTTACATTCTTTGTTGTTCTTCGTTATGGTGGCTCTAGTGCCTCTAGGTCGCGCTTCAACCAAGGTTTTCAAGCTTGGATAACGTATTCAACATGCAGGCACACGTAAGAATTGTGCGTCATTGATAAAATTGATGAGTCGATCACTCGAATGTCCTTCGCAGCATGCCGACGTGTTGGTTGCCTCTTTTTGCAGCTACTTCAGCCAGTTTTGAACAGTTGAGGTCGCTCTGTATGAGCACACCAAGGTCACCTTCCTGGGAGCTGATCTGCAAGCCGTTTGTCCCAATTAAATAGGTGTAGTTATGTCTATGGCGTAATTGTACAACGCGACATTTGTCTATGTTGAATTGTAGAGCATTATGAACTGATTAGTTCGACACTGTGTTAAGAACGCACGGCAGCCGTTCGTGGTCGTCCGATCCTCTGATGCTTTGCCATATCTTGATATCATCAGCAATTGATCTCGCCAAATCGTTAACGAACACCAAGAATAGACGAGGTCCAAGAACCGAGCCTTGTGGTACTCCACATATCACATCAATTGCATCAGACAGTGATTCTCGGAATCTCACAACTAGCCGTCGTACTTGTAGAAAATTGCCAATCCAACTCAGAATCAAGCCGCCAGTGCCGTAATTCCGAAGCTTCTGAAAGAGAATTCGATGGTCTAAGCGATCGAACGCTTTTGAAAAGTCCAGTTAGATGACATAGACTGGCCCAAGTACGGTTCCTTGAGGCAAGCCACTGGTCGATGGGAAGCTGTGTGGCAGGCAGTCATTAACCTGTACTCGAAACTTTCGTCCTACAATAAACTCGTGTAAATACTGATATAACGCGCCACCGATTCCGTAGGTCCTCAGTTTACGAAGAAATACCCCGTGATTCACTCTGCCAAACGCCTTACTAAAGTCGATGTACACCATGTCAACATCCTTCCGTTCGTTGTGAGTTCGTACCCACTAATGGTTTGCACACATCAAGTTGGTGATGTAAGATTGCCCTTTCGTAAAGCCGCGTTGTGCGGGTATTAACAGGTCCATCGATTCGAAGAACGACAGCAGACAAATTCTCACAAACTTCTCGAGTAGTTTGGATAAGATGAAAATCAAACAGATCGGTTTATGGTTCTCTACCTTACTCTGATCACCACCCTTGGGAGGCGGTCTCACTATCGAGCATTTCCAGTCGTTAGAGACAGCTCCTTTAGACAGTGATTTATTGATTACCTTTGTCACGGCTAGTGAGACAACATTCCATGGGGACTTGAGTATTAGTAGGTAAAGTCCGTCTGGTCGGG